TTGTTTTGCTTTTTAATGCTATTCTTGATTAGATATTGATGGCAATTTAACTTGATGAGTATTTTTTTTCATCTCTTCTAATCTCTGCTCTCTTGTTATTGGGTTTCAGACTATTTTCCAGATTCGTTTAGCTAGGTTGATTGGAATGTTGGTACGAGTGTACTTCGGTTGAGTAAGAGATACTGTCGATAGGTTTAAAATATACACTTTTGTTCTAATTAATTATTTACTTTCTTTTTATTCAAATTATTTTTTTTTCGTATTTTGCAATGAAACATGACCCAGTGCACATTGTTGGTACTTCGTATGTTTATTCCACGAAGTCGTTCTTGTTGATTGGCCACAGATTCTCGATTTGATTTAAATAACGAGAATTTCCGGGCCAGTCTATAGTACTTTGATTTGTTCACTGATAAGGCTTGCCAGTGTGTTTGTGCAGCCTCACAATTTTTGCACTATTTCTTGGAAAAGCGTCCATCGGAGAAAATGTCCTTAGGACAACTAATCGACAATCGAGACAGTAGTGTCTGGGTGCGACATAAATCTGATGCACAATATTTTTCAATGACAAACAAAATAGATTCATGTTACTGCATACAACTGCAAATGACCTAACCTGAGGAAAAATAGAAATTGATTACACACTATCACTTCAATGGGTCTAAAACTGACCGTATGGTGAAAGAAAGGAAACTAAAGCGGTTGTTTTAATTAATTTACACAAGTCTGCGTGTTGGTTTCCAATAGTTTTGTTTCTTTTTCTAGTATCATTATATTAATTCCTTAATGGTCACCTCATCGTTAACAAAAAAAACAAAAAAAACAAAACAAATTTGAAATGGCAAAACACTGATTCCTGGATTGATTTGATTTTTGATGGATTATCAATCTTTGGAAGATTAGTTAAAGCTAGGAAATATATTTAGCGTGTAAGAATTTGTTTGGAGATAATAATGATTTGCTGTTACGAATCATACTAATTAACCCATAACTGGGGGAAATGTGATGTGTCTATACCTCTCCCAATATGTATTTGTGCGTAAGTGAATATGAAGAATTCGAACCTGGTACTCCAATTTCTAATTCCAAACCGTTATCCATGACACCACTAGCATATCTAAGCTTAGAGCACCAGGTATTTGCAAGCGTTCAAATATATATAATATATATATATATATATATATATATATATATATATATATATATATATATATATATATATATATATATATATATATATATATATAGACTTTTTTATCAGTTTGTGAATGGAAGAGATAATTCCGAGGAGGATATAAATCCAGAGAGACCTCAATGTAGATTACAGAGCATTATAATGATAATAATAAGACGGAGACTTTAATTATTCATTTCGATTATAATGTATTTCGTGAACACCGAGATATTCAACTCTTCAGACCGAAATCTCCTCTCTCACTCTCTCTTTCTCTCTCTCTCTCCCTCTCTCTCTCTCTCTCTATATATATATATATATATATATATATATATATTTTACCAGTTTTTATATATATATATACATGCAGTCTGTACTTTTATATTTACATGCGCTCTATCTCTGATATTGAACATTTTACACACATATATATATATATATATATATATATATATATATATGGCAATATATATATTTATATATGTTATATATATATATATTTATATATATATATATATATATATATATATATATATATATATATATATATATATATATATATATATATATATATATATATAGGAACTGACAAGTCTCACCGTTGCTTAACTTTGGAGATGAGAACCGGTTTTTCAACGTGATATGGACGTTAGCCGGAAGTGACAAAACTGCAAATGGAGATAAGACGTGATTGAGATAATTTAAAAAAAATGTTATTTCCCCATGATTTCTAATGTTCAATGTTGGATCGTATATCAGTCGTTGTCAACTGACACTTCGTTTGGAGTAAAATATTAGATAGTTATCGAGACATACACATGGCGAAAATCAACACGACTATTTTGTCGAATGAGATAAACTCATAGTAGAAATGTTTTTCGAATTATCACATTGTCGTAGTCGAGACTATTTTTTAAGCAAATTACACCCCAAGAAAGGCGGAAAGCCACTGGCATCCAAGGGGTTACAGAGAGTTGGTGCGCGAGCAAAGAGGAGTGATAGAGGAAAGGATGAAGAGAAGATTAGGGGATAGATCAAGGCATCTGGAGACCTCGATTGACATTACATTTGAATATTTGGAGATTATAGATATTAGGAAAAGATATATGGGAGGTATGGGGAGGTAGTTCCGCAGAAGAGAAATGCGAAACATGAAGCTATTGGAGTAGAAGAGACGGCTACATTTATTAGTTTCGACAGTGAAAGGGTGAGGGTGAGATGCTAGCCTAGTTGAGCGCTTAAATTCATGAAGTCTGGGAACCAGCAAAAGCAGCTCATCGGAGCAGTTACCGTGAAAGTAATTGTAGAAAAGACAGAGAGAGGCGACGACACGTCTGTGAGAGAGCGGCTGCAGACGAGATGCCAGATCAGGGCCAATGACATTGCATATCCACCTTTGGATTTTATCGAGGACCTTGAGACAAACAGAAGAGGTTCCAGACTATAGAGGGCAGCAATACTCTATGCAATGCGAATGGTTGATTTGTAGATTTGAAGGATTGACTCCGACGAGAAAAATTTCCTGGCACGGCACAGGGAGCCAACTTTCCTTGCGCAGGAAGAAGCTATTGACTCAATGTATTTTTTACATTTCTGGTTAGCAGACGATTTGAGACCGAGCAGTTGCAAAGAGGTACTCTCGTGGAGTTGAGCGTCAGACATTCTAATGGGAGGCAGGGATGGTACTCTGTGGTGAGTAATAGAGAGCAGTTTGTTTTTGAGGCATTAGAGTTAACCAGCCAATTCCTGCCCCAGTTCACAACCGATTGGAGGTTCTTTGCGAGACAAACGCCAGGCTAGTTTTGTCGGTGACACTAGATTTGTTTTTGAGGCAGGAGTAAATAGTAGTATCGTCTGCACAGATGCCTACTAGTTTCTATTACCCAATTGGCTTTGGATGAATGTGCCCGGTTGTCGATTCGATGGTTGGTTATGCATGCCTGGCTTGTGTATATGTCTCTAATTCCAATCTAGCAGAATTTTCCTTCATGGGTGAAATTATCTTTAACTTCATAGTCAGAATCGCTTGCTTAGAAAAGAGTGTAAGACTAGGATAGGGTCAGAAAATACGTTTTACGACCAGGGTATATTAGGACGGAATTCCGGAGGTGTGTGGGCGGAGCCGGACAAAATTACGTTTTATTTATATATATATATATATATATATATATATATATATATATATATATATATAACAAAACGTAATTTCGTATATATATATATATATATATATATATATATATATATATATATATATAAAGACTAAGTTAAAAGACAATCTATTTGGTGGAGGGCTGTTGATTTGGCCTTCATCTCAATAGGTAGCCATGAGTAAATGCGATAACCTACATGAGATTTCAAAATAGATCGTTGCATTTAAGTATTGCATTACTGTTTAAGCTTACCTTTTAAAAGTTCAACGATAATTCTTCTACCGCAAATTAATTTAAAAACAGTTTTAAGTACCTCGGTACTTACTTTCCGTACAAACAATTATTTTTTTTTTATTTCATGGTTGACTTTCGCTGGATTCCGTCATTAATTTCAATTATTAACAAATTTATGTTCAAGTTATGAAATATTTTATCGTGTCAAAAAATTTGCCACAGAAAGCCATGTAAATAATTGCCGAAAACAATCGCAGTAATGAAAATTTAGAAATCTAATATTTCAGGATTACGAACCCGGATCCGAACTGGGATATTTTTATTTGTTCGTAAAGTCGTCCTGATTCCAAAATGGTATGATATGTTGCGCTACGGCATCTACGAGTAAAGTTGAAAAATGCGACACAATGTCACACTGACATTCGCCATTTTTAATAGAGATGAGCTGTGAATGCGGAAGTGAAGAGAACAATATCTTTGGTTAATGGCTTGGAGTTTCGTTTAGCTACGAAAATTCTATTCATTTGGCTTAATAAGACACAAATGGAAAATGCAGGGGTGGATTAAAATTATTTGACCATCATCTTCCAGAGTAAGAGTATCTTGAAAATCAGTTTGAGTTTTTAGCGGAGATCGAAATCCTATCCCATTCTTGATTTCGCTTTCCTTTTAGCATTACGAAACGTCAATCTTGTTTATATTCAATGTTTCTTCGGATTTCTCGTCCCATTCTCATTCACTTGTTTCACTACCACGACATTTGAAAAACTAGACATTCTTGCGAATCGGATCATTTTAAACTTATTGTTATGTCAATTTTCTGTCTTTCTATTCCACACCACGTCATTCCTACGTCATTCATCCTTACTTTCTTTCTTCTTCCTTCTTTTCATTCTTTCTTTCTTTCTATCTTTCTTTCTTTCTTTCTTTCTACTTTCATTCTTTCTTTCTTTATTTCTTTCTTCTTTATTTCTGTTGTAGTAGGATCCACCTAATTTGCATAGTGGAGTACCGACCATATAAATATGGTTGGTACCCGGAAGAGAGAGAGGAATCAAGAGATTCAACCAGAGACTCTGCCCGACTGCGACTCAGTCAACACATTCTCCAGGAACAGTCTTACCAGGAATATACAAAAGACTATATGTAAATATTGTGTACACTTTCTTGTTTCAATACATTTTGTTCTAAGTACATTTTGTGTTGCATTATTATTCCCTGCATTAGTCGAGTTTCAACAATTTCTTTCTTTTTCTTTCTTCTTTCATTCTTTCTTACTTTCTTTCTTACTTTCTTTCATTTTTACAAACTTTTCATTTCTCTTGTTTTCTTTCTTTTTGTTGCATCGCCTTTTTCTTCCTAAAGAAAATCATTCTTTGTTCTTTTTCTTTTATCCGTAGACTTTTCTTGTTGACATTTAACACAACTTTCTCTTTATAATGTCGTTCTTTATTTCTTTCTTCATTTCTTTCTTTTTTCTTTCTTTCTTTCTTTCTTTCTTCTTTTTTTTCTTTTTTCTTTCTTTCTGTCTTTCATTTTTACAAATTTTTAATTTCTCTTTGTTTGTTTTTCCTCTTTCCTTTTGTCGCCTCGCAATTTTCTTCCTAAGTAAAATCATTCTTTGTTCTTTTTCTTTTATCAGTAGACTTTTCTTGTTGACATTTAACACAACTTTCTCTTTAAAATGTCGTTCTTTATTTATTTATTTCTTCATTTCTTTCTTTCTTCTTTCTTTCTTTTTGTTTTCAAATTCTTACTCGCTAATTTTTCTTCATTCTCATTAGTTTTCCTTTCCTTTTATCTTTTCTTTCTTTATCCATTTATTTATAACTTGCCTGCGTTCGATTTCTCTATATTCCTGTTGGCACGCGTACATTTTAATTTATCTTTTCTTTCTTTATTTACTTCCATCTCTTTTTTTTCTTTCTTTTTTTCGCCTCCCCAAGTCTTTGTTATCGCTCGTTTTCGTTTCGTTCCTTCTTTTTTTCTTCTTCTATCCTTCTTATTCTTCCTTTATTCACCCTGACCACAATTACTGCCTTGATTCTATCAGCAGCATCTTCCCCCACCACCACTTCATATTTATTACTTCTCTCCTTATCTTCAAACTCGCCTCTTGTATTGAGAGATCTTCGACTTTACAATTTAATTAACGTAATTCAAGTACACAAGTCATTAGTAATCAAAACTTCAGCCCTCCAGAAACGAGCTGATTTTTTTCCAATTCTATTTAATCAATGCTGCATTCCAATAACAGAAATAACAACAAGAATAACGATGACGTCCGTAATAATAATAATAATAATAATAATAATAATAATAATAATAAAGAAAATAACGTATATGGAAATTAGAATATGCGAATTGTCTTCAGATATAATTCATTCCATTGAGTTTGATATATGCCTCAACTAACAATCTGGATTTTATCTATCTCTCTGTTTATCTATCTATCTATCTATCTATCTATCTATCTATCTATCTATATATATATATATATATATATATATATATATATAACTATCTGGCCTATTATGGCCACCTGTCTATAGTAATATATCCTTAATTATCAGGATTCAGTTGCTTTATTGTGCGATGTCATAACACATTTATCTATCTATCTATCTATCTATCTATCTATCTATCTATCTATTCCTGTATATATATATATATATATATATATATATATATATATATATATATGTGTGTGTGTGTGTGTGTGTGTGTGTGTGTGTTATGTAGATAAACTATTCCGCTTGAATCAATCTATCGATGCGTCTTGTAATTGATCACGGGCAACACATACGTACTTATAGGCATCGATGTTACTTATTTCCTATTCCTTATATATGTATATCTGTACTTTCCTGGCTGTGTGCTTGTATGTACTAATAAAAAAAAATATCAGTGAACCTAGGAAAGCTTTCTTTTCTGAAAGAATGCTCTCTTGATTTGATTCCACGAAATTTATTCACGTCATCAGTTTTTTTTTTCCTACAGTGCATTTTCCTTCAAAAAATTGAATTGCTGTCAAGTTCAGGTTGATGTAAATAATCAAATATTGGTCCCGTCAGCATCAGAATCACTCAATTTATTGTGGAGTAAATAAAAATGGTTTATTTTGTACAGACAGTTTGCTACATCGGTTTAAATAATTTCGTAAGATTGAACTATTTTCAAACACATTTCAAAGCATTAGATGCACTAGACACACACTCACGCACGCATATGCACACATGCACACACATACACATACATATATATATATATATATATATATATATATATATATATATATATATATATATATATATATATAAAGTCTGATGATCCAGAGCCCTTTAAAAGGGCTGTAGTGAAATAATTCATTACATGGAAACTTAAAGTGGTCTGTTTTTTATTCAAATATATATATATATATATATATATATATATATATATATATATATATATATATGTGTGTGTGTGTGTGTGTGTGTATTTAGGAAGCATATTTTCATTTAAGCATGTTTGCTTAAAGAAATTTAAAAGTCTATTTATTTTAGCTTTAATCCTTTCAAATCCATGAATTAATATCTTGCTGGCTGTAGAAAATTAAGAAAAATTTCAAAATATTCTTTCAAATAATTTTTATTTTCTCCATTATTTTCAATCTCATCTGGGACTACCTCCAGGCGTTGCATTTATATGGATGTGTTATGCATTAACACCGTAAATTCAAAATATTTTTTTCACCGCTATGTAAGGTAGGTGACTTATGTGATATTTTCAAAAAAGATTTTTAAATTGTAGTATTTTAATTTAATATTTTTATATAACACTTTGCCCACTACAAACATTTAAAAACTTTATTTGACGTTATTTATTTTTGTCCGCAATTCCCTTCTATAAAGTGCTTCCAGAATTTTAAGCGTTTGCTTATTATTGTCTTGATGAAGCACTGATATATTTTCTACTAATATCTGTTTAAACTTTGAGTATAGACATGCGTGTTCCTTTAAATCTTCTAAGATTGAACGATGATTGTTCAAGTGAAACGTAATCCTTCTCGTTGTTGTAAAACCATCATACGTATTAACATTTTTATCAGAGATGCAATCCCACAAAGGACATTTAAATTGATATACCATGTTGGTCTTTTGTATGACGTTAGTTAACGTAGATGGATTGGAATGGATTACTAGGTTGGCTGTATTAAATTTAGTATAGTATATATATATATATATATATATATATATATATATATATATATATATATTATTTTTTTAATTGTATCAGTGACGGGGTATAGTAGTGCTTATGAACTTTTAGTATTTTTTCTCCTGTATATAGTTAGAATGCATTTGATTACGGTATAGTAGTTTGATATGTTTATTATTACAGGACGTATAATAGTTCATTTTTATTTATGTTAATATTCCCAATAGCTCGTCGAATTTGTTCATCAACGATGTAATTAGTAAAGAGATTACCATTGAGGGTTTGTTTAATATTATTTTAATTCAGTATAGAAAATTTTTCTTGCTGAAGACTTTGCCTTTGAACGGTTTATCAAGTTTCGTATAATATCTATTTGGTAATAATTAGGACATTCACTTTTATAGTTTAGAGTGCACGTGTTCATGCTCGTTTTTTATATGGGGTGGTAGTAAATATATTATTATTAGTGTCTATCAATACATCAAGAAACGGGATTTTATTGTCAGTGTTAAGTTCGTATGTGAAATTAAGTAGAATTTGGATAAGTACGTGTGTTGATTTAACGCTGTATTTATTGGGAACGTATGGTGTATTTAGTTGATTAATAGCTTTGTTTAGCTGTTAAACAGGAGTAGAGATTTGGGATAAGATAGAACGGTAATGGAAGTTAGATTTATGTATTTTTATAGTTCCATACATGTATCCTGGTTTGTAGTCGCGAATTAGTTTAGGAAATTTTAAGTTATCTCATCCTGCGTTATAGGCTGAGGTAAGTTTGTTGATTTTCGATTTTAGTTGGTTGATCGTATGTTTGCCAACTTTTTAAATTTGATGTGATCGTCCAGCATTTGTCGCATCTTTGAATAATTATCCGATTTATTTAATATGATGAAGATATTGCTTTTATCCGTTTTTAACAAATTATTGTTCTGGTTACGTAGCTCGTTAGCAGCAATTTTTTGATGTTTTGATGGAAGTTTGGACGTGTTCTTTCTTCTGTCATACCTATCTTTCAACGCCTCCACCTTAAGTAGGTCACAGATTTCTGGCTTTTTTATTTATCAGTGTATGTTTTCAAGTTTTTGTATGTTTTGATACAACATTTCTATTCCGGACATTTTTTTTTTTTTTTTTTTTATTTTCTATAAAGGTCTGTTAAATTTTCCAGAAACGTAAAAAAAAGGTGTAAAACATTTTTCGGTCTAAGGTTCAATTTCAAGTAATTCCTCCCCATAAACGTACAAAAAAAAAGTAAAACAATTTAAAATAAAAAATGTTATAAAACATTTTCTGAAACTAAAAAAACCATTTTTTTTTTCTCAAAAAACCACTTGTAAGTAGAAACACAATTTCAGTTTTAATATTATCTCTGTGTGTGTCTCTCTCTATCTTTCTCTATATATACATATACATTACACACATACATGCATATATATATATATATATATATATATATATATATATATATAGTCTCTCTATATATATACAGTAAGAATAAAAGCTAGAGCTTAAAATATAAATTCGCCTGAGGGGTGGACAGAAAGTAAATATAATAAAATAATATAATCAATACCACAAACCGATACTCAGAGTTTCATGCCGCAGCAATGATCGATAGGAGCGCTGCCTGATCAGTGTCATTACATGAAACTCTGTTTAGCGGATTTTAGCTTCTACTGAACTATTAAAAGTATAGACGTATAGTCAAAATCGTTGAAAATGACTATGTGGTTTGGTTCGTTTTACGGCATATGGGTTATTTAATGCCGACAAGAATTTATTGCTGGTAACATTTTTCATAGACTATTTCTGGTAATATTTTTTCCAAAAATGCTCTGCTAGTAATGATGTATTGCTGACAATAATTCTTTATTGAAAAATTCATTACTGGTAATACTTTTTTACAAAGATGTATTCAGGTATAAAAACCTATTTTGACATGTTTTGACTCAAGTTTGGGGGTTAACTATATGTCCATAGTTGGGACCCTAACATGTGTTATCACCCCAGGTCACGGTAGACCTGGGAATACTGGTAATTAAGAGATGATTACACGCTTCTCGAAACCTCATATACTTGCATGATTTTCATGTTCGAGCCTAGAAAGTCGCTTGGCTCTTGAATGCTGACTTTCAGAACAGAGACATCTTTCGCTTCTAACGCAACAACATATTCTTGAAGCCATTTCATTCGTTTAAAGATTCTTTTAAGTTTTGTGATCGACGCTAGTTAGAATGCCAGTATTTTGCGTTCGGATTTTCTCAGCATTTGAACTCTATCGTTATTCCAGTGATGTAACCTGAATACTGAAGGATGCTGAGGATTTTGTGCACCGAAAATGAGAGTAACTGCGAGATTTTCAAGAAAATGCAAACAAAAGAGGAAACATACTAAGCATCATGAAGAGACAGCTGAAATTTCTAGGACACATAATGAGGAAAGATGGCTTGGAAAATCTGATACTCACAGGGCAGTTTTAGGGAAAGAGAAATGCATCCAGAAACATAATTGATGTGTTTCAGTAAATAGATGGTAAATCAGGGTTTGGTAGAAATAACAAAAAGATAAAAATTATTAGAAGCTAAAAAGGACAGGAAGATACGGAAGCCATGACTGAATACTTTATGAAGGGATAAGTCAGTTATGTGCCATGAGTAATAAATGCTTAGGCGAGGCATATTTTTTCTGCAGTAGGTTGTCATTTCTTTCTGCGGTAAACCAGTTCACATCCAAGGCTATAGAACCTGGTTTGTCCTGGTATTAACCCGTAGCTGAACGGGTAGGGGAGAAGAAGAGGATTCATACCTTTCCCATTGGTATTAGAACGTAAGTGAATGTAATATATTCGACTGCAATTCGAACTCGGCTCTCCGATTTCTCTATCCGAGCCGCTATCCATTACCTAAAAGAAGACCCTGATATATGCCATGATCATGAAAATTAATAAGGCTTCCTTTTTATTATCTTGGACTTCTAACAGAAGAGATTTGTGGTTCGAGTCCAGGTTTAAAACAAAATATATGATCATATTGGGAGTAGTTCGTTTGCATACAGGAAGAAAAGGAATTGGTTAAATACTAAAATATAGAAACTTACCTAAGACAAGGATTTATTTAACCTTTACAGTTTCATGTTCCAAACAGAACTAGAAATCCTGCGAGAACTTCTAGAAATTAAATATTTACGACCAATTGTAAGAAAAGAGTATTTATGGTCGTCAGCCGTGGCCAGACATTTGGCAGACGGACATTTCACCGAAAAAGTACAAGTCAAAATAGTCACAAGCAATACTTAAAGTATTTTCATTAACAGTATTATAAAGTAGAATCGAACTAATAATTACCACTGAATTTCAAATGATTAAATTACTAAATCTAGGTTTAAAGCTAAAAGTTTTCTTATTTCAATACTTGTTTATTGAAATGAGTATTTTTTAAATAATTGAGTGTATTTGGAT